ACGCACATGCGCCCGGCACGAGTTTTAAGCCACCGGGTCCGGGATGCCAACCGTGGTCGACTACGTGGGAGTCCAGCGACATAGCCATTACACTAACTGCTGGTTCCCTAAATGGAGGTCTTTTTAAGAAAAGAGTGAAATGAGGCCAATGGTGGTGTAGTGGTTTAGGAGCTGGGCTCCCACATGACTGACTCTAGTTCAAGTTCCTGCATTGGCGGCTTGAAAATCATGCCAGGTGGGTGTGCCTGTGTGCCTGGGAGGAGAGTGGAGGAGAAGGTATTGCCATCCTCTTTTAGGAGAGGGGGTGATTTCCCCCTTTTTGCCTGTCTCTCTGACAAGCACATACACCCTATTAAAAAATCAGCAAAAGAAAAAAAGAGTGAAATGTTTTCAGGGCTTCTCACTCATCTATTTTACTCAACAGGTATTTTGGTTATCTTCTTCCGTGACATGGCAGTCTTTTCCTACTATTGCTTAAACTTTGCTCTCTTTTGGTAAATACAGATATCTCGCAAGGCTGCAGTTTCCGAAAATGCAACTCATAACCCCTTCCCTGCTGGAATCACTGTTTTACCAACCCACAGCAGAAACTCTGAAGCTTCTTTTAACGTAGATTCTTAGACATATGGTTTGTTTCCAGTTTTTCCTTCTCCAAATACCCGAGTCCTTACAATGTATGCTTTTTCCATCTGGTGGCATCGCCTTCCTTATATGCTCCAGCTCCTGCCTGGAACCAGTGATTCAGTCTGCTAGGTCAGGGGGCTACAAAACTTTTTCTGTAAATGTTTTCGGCTTTGCTGGCAGCTAAGCAAAGCCCGCGGACATAATGCAAAAGCGGCCACGGACTACATACACACGCAAAGGAGCGTGGTCGCGTTCTAATAAAACTTTATGGACACTGAAATCTGAATTCTATATAATTCTCACGTGTTACAAAATCTTTCGATTTTTTGCAGCCACTAAAAAGTGTAAAAATCATCTTTAGTCAGCAAGGCCATACAAACAGGCAGAGGGCAGGCCACAGTTTAAGGACCCCGATGCTAGAGGAGAGACCTTGTCTTGTCCCGCAGTGATCCGGATCTGATCCGGTCCCTGACGACCCTTCCTACCAGCTATGCGATTCCCGGGAGGGAGCAGCCCTTTGGAAGTATGGGCCTTCAGGTACCTCGCTACCACACACGTCTGCCTTGGCAGGCCATGTATCAGCCCTTTAGGGTGGCAAAGAGATTCAACAAGGCTTTCAGACGCAATCAGGCTCGGGCTCCCAGCACAGGAGCAGCCTGGAAACACCTCCAGGCCGCGGCGCGGCGGGGACAGGCAGGTACTCACCTGGGCTAGCCCGAGTCTTCCCAAGTAAAGTAGCAGAGGCGATGGCACGCGCGCGCCTGTCCCTAACCCGCTGCCACCCACTGCTGACCGAGGGGCACGCAGCCCTTACCCTCGCCGCGCCGAGGTTAGACAGTGGCTAGGTAGGGGCGGCTCCTTCCCACCCTTGCGGGACGCCGCGCCGGGATCCAGCCCCTGTTGGGG